TTTCCTCCACTCCCTTGCCACCACTTCTTAGTAGATGACTAGTTTCTAAGCAGAAACTTAGTGCCACTGAGAAGGGACTCCAGTAAATATCTGCTTCTGCACCATGCAGACTGTCTTTTCTCCTACTCAGTTGAAGAGGTGTTTCTTCTTTCATCCATGGTTAACTCCTTCATCTGTATTCAAGATCCCATCCCTTCCTATTTCATAAAGATCTCTATCTTCTTCAGAGGGGCCCTGGTTTTCACTCTATACCTTCACTGTCCAATATGGTAGCCACTAGGCATATGTGGCTATTTACATTTAAACTTAAATTAATTTAAATAGAGTTTGAAATCCAGCTCATTATTTGTAGTAGCTACATGTGGCTAGTGGCTACTGTATTGGACAGTGCAGGTAAAGAACAGTCCCCATCAGAGAAAGCTCTTCTATTTTAAAATTTTATTTATTTTGTTATCGTTGACAATATATACAGCAAAACAGACACCAATTCAACAGTTTCTACATGCATATTTAGTGACATTGATTACGTTATTTGAGTTGCACAACCATTTTCACCCTTCCTTTCTGAGTTGTTCCTTTCCCATGAACATAAATTCACTGCTCTCAATGTTCCTACCTAGAAAGTTCTTGAGTTTAGAATATACTCTACACTCCTTGGGTGATCTTCTCCCATTCTTTCCCTAGGCTTTAAATGACATTTAAACACCTATGTTTATAATTTACACTCTATGTTAAGACAGCGGATTCTAAGTATTTTTTAAAAACGCTATTGGTTCTCAACCACAGCTGCATATCAGAAGCACCTGCATGACTTTTAGAACTACAGATGCTGGCCTCAGCCCAGGTTAATTAAATCAGAAATTCTGGGTGTGAATATGCATTCGAACAGCCTACAACCACTTCAAGAAACACAACTGGGAATATTTTCTTTTACTGGCATGTGAAGGCTCAAGTAAAGGAATTTATCTTAATGAGAATTCTCCACATAAACTCTATAGACATCAGTGTCACAAACCTCTCTCAGAATATATTTAGATATAGTAAATAAAAAGTCAAAATTCTTACCTGTATGATAAAAGGTGAGAAAAAATAAAAGTACTCCCATGAACATATTACTTAAAAAAGTGACAACTCCACAAGTTATTCCTTCTGGAACTGGGTAGACAGTTTCCACAAAAAGCTCAAAAAATATAGGTATACTGCTATTCAAAAATACTCCCAGGAGAATACAGGAGGCGTACAACGTCACTAAAATAAAAACACAAACATCTTAGTTTCATGGTAGCAGAGTGACTCATAACAGATAGATCTTCTGGGTGTTCTACTTCATAAGTACCAATTCTGGAATTTCATTTATTTTCTATGGTAGCTGATAAAGTTTGGCAAAGCATCACACATCTGTCAGCTTTTTGCTTTGCTCAGGTTTTCTGCACTAGGTAGACAAATGTTTTATGGCTGGATGATTACCAGTTTATTTGCTTTTTTTTTGGTGGATTATTCCAAAGCACAAAAATAATTTTATTCCTATAATTAAAAGAATTCTGTTCCCTGAGTCACAGTACTGGCAAATAGAGGGA